CAGGAATTGGGAGTCATGGGGTTCCGTTTCTTTAGTTATGATTACTATTCATAGCTCATACCTTAAATAAAATAAAATAAAATAAAAAATTTAGTATTTGGATGTAAATTCAAGTTATGCTTTCAAATTGATTTTTCAAAAGCATTAATTCTTTCCAATGCAAATTTTTAAGATAAGGAGTAATATTCAATAATTTAGCATTCAATCATTTTAATATTTGAAAAAACATTCAAAATCAATAATGCTACTGTTATGCTACCGAAAGTTTTTTTTTTTGCAAGACACGTTCTATATAATAATTTTTTGTACTATTCTACAATAAAATTTATGTTCAGTTTATAATTAGAGTTCAAACAGAGTGAATGGTATGTATTTTCTTTGTCATTAAAATAAATTTCATTCATTTATATTTTACATATTTAAGGAAAATAAATACTCCATATTATTTATGATTAAATTTTATGACAAAAAGAGTGCAATTAGAAAGAATAATTTAATTTTGAGACATCTCATTAAAAAATAAAATTCAATTGATATAAGCATAAGGTACTAATTTTATGTGAACTTTAATTTATAAAAAGTAAATATCAATACAATTTATGCTTGAATTTTGTAAAGAAAATTGTGTGTTTTATTTTTATATAAAAAGTATGGAGTACTAATTTAATCCTACCACATGTTACTTGTGGTGGGATTAAAATGAGACAATTAAGAAAATATAAAATACAATTGATATTTTTTGAAGGAAATGCAAAAAAAAAGTATCTGCTCCACTACACTACCGTGGCCAATGCTAAGAACGCGGAGTTTACTGAACATATAGTATACCCAAATAATACTCAATGAATACACGACCCTACGCGGAGACTCGTGGGGTCCTGGGACCCCATGGGACTCAACATGGGTCCGCCTCTGCTAGTGTAGATAGATACTCCGTATCATTTAATTACCATACGGAGAGAGATAGTAGTATATAGTCTTGAATGAATTAGGTTCTTAGAAAAATAAAAGATCTCCATATTGAAAATATTCTATCACGTGAATAGTGTAGATATCATTTAATTCGGTACAAAGAGAGTAGTATAATTATTATCATTTATTTTAAAAAATTAATATTTTTTGAGATCAATTTAGATTAATAATTATCCATAATTGTTGGAACAAAGTTTAGTGTCATTTAAATTTTAAAAAATCCCAATAAAATTGTACTCCGTATAATTTATATAAAAATGGATTAAAAAAATAATGAGTGTGTATCACAAAAAAGTAACACGGGAAAAATAAAAATAGAACACTTGAAATAATTTGTAAACTATAGTTATAATTATAATATTATTATTAGTAATAATAATACATGAAAAATATTTTATTTTTAGAGTCAATATAATATGGGAGAAAGACAAAAGTAAGACTAAATCATTGAAAATATACCAAAATAGAACTTTCACATTTTTATTCCCGAAATAGGACTTACATTACCAAGCATGGTCATATATATTACCAAAAAAATATAGTAATGTGCACATGTACACTGCCACATTACCACAGTGCAAAGTCCTTTTTTGAGGAAAAAACATGAAAGTTCGATTTTGGTATTTTTCTCTATATTTTAGTCCTATTTAAGGTGATTTCTAATATAATATTTGGGAGTAAAAAAAGATTGAAGAAATTGGGATAGTTGGGAAACTGGAAAATCATTTGAAGAAACTAGAAGGAACTAAAAAAACTAGAAGAAACTAGAAAAAACTAGAAAAAAATCAGAGAAATTAGAATTTGAGAGTTTAATCTCTAAAGATCATGCTTTAATTAGGTACAAAAGAGTAAATAAAACACTATTAAAATTAGATCTGGCAAAACAGAATTGGAATCGATTACCCAAACTGAAAGATCTAAAACTAAAACCAAAATCATATGAAAAGTGAAGATCCAATATATAATTGAATAATCAAATGATTCAATCAAACCAAATTGATTTAAATATATACATACCTGATTTAAGATTGAAACTGATTAGTTCTGGCCGATAATATCCGAAATCGATAATACCTGAAACCGATAATACCCAAAATTGATAAACTTGAAACTGATAATACCCAAAATTTATTTTGAATGGTTGTTATTAACTATATTCATTTATGAAAAATGGTTTTTTAATAGAAAGTGGAAGTGTTTTGTTGGAATTGAAAAAAATGAAAGAAAAAGTGTTTTTGAGAACGGAGGGAGTATTATTTTGCAAAATGTCATTTTTGGACCCGTCTCCTCTTAAATCTAGAAATTGATGGTGTCAGAGTGTTCAGACAAAGGTTAGTGTATTTGTATTACACCTTAGCATGTTAGTATAATTTTATGTAAGGTGAGAATATTATTTATAAGCACGATATGACCTTCACGCAGGATGTTAGGCAGGCCGGCTCGACCTCAACCTCTAAAGTTGTCGTGTGATGATGCTATTCTTTGATCCAACCCGATCGAGGGTCATTGATACATTGAAGAATTCTTTTATTGTACTTCTAAAAAAGTTATAGGTGTCTTTAAGCTTTTGTTTTGTGTGTTTAATAGAGTTGATTTATGTCTTTAACTAATATGTGGTTTAATTGAAAAAGGGGATGGATCCTACACACTATGGGACTAATGTTACAGTGACAAATGACACTCATTGGTGGTATTTGGCATGCAAATGTAATAGAGTTGTTAGGCTAGATGGTGCCATGTATTATTACATACGTTGTTCATGTCATGTTTTGAATGTCACACCAAGGCTTGATTATAACCTCTGCTCCAGTATTTGCGTTAACTACCAGTGGTATAATTTCACAAAAAGAACTCATAAATTATTGTATTTTTGCAGGTATCTTATCAAGCTCATTGTTAAAAATGACTATGGTACGACTGCTTTGGTCTTATTTGACTGTGAAGCCTGCTACATATTAAATGCATCATGTGCCGTATTGATGGAAAAAGATTATGTTGTATGTACCCATTCTTTAAATATATCTTTAAAGATCATGTACCATATAAGAATAAAATGAGTAATGGTGTAGTTTTGAGAATCTCGAGGGGAAACACATATTTTATGAAAAAAGTATAAAAAGTATTGGTGTATTTTTAAATGTTCAAAGAAAAAACATGCATTTTTTAAGAGTTCAGGGCAGAGCACACATTTTCTGAAAAATATAAAGACTATTGGTGCATTTTTAAAGTTCGGGGAGAAAATATGCACATTAAGAAGAGTATGTTCAAGCTTTAAAATAATTAATGATGCTTTAAATTGATCTAAGGAAGTACTCACTTAAAGTGCATGTTAAAGAGCTATCAAAAGAAAACAATTCAAACATGTTTTTGAAAAAAAGGAAAAAGAAAATATGATGAAGATCATAGTATTACCAAATGAACTACTTCTGGACAATGTCAAAAAGCAAAAGAAAAGCTTGACGTAACATTTACTAACATAGTACGTTAATCATAAAAAAAAAAAAGAAGTCTTGTTCTTTATTTACTTGACCAACAAAAGAAAACTTCGATGCTTGGTAAGTGGTAACCATCCAATAAATCTATATTCATTATCTTTGAATTGTTTTATATTGTGCTGCGCTTTAAATCTCAAAAAACAAAACAAAAATATCTATCTATACAAAGATTGGTGAAAAAAAGTGAATAATGTTTTCTCCTAAATTAAATTTTCCAACTAGTATCACACATGTGCATTACATGGTTCGTATTCATGTTAATAAATTATATTGGAATCATTATTGAAGAATATAAGTTGGTATCGAATGGAATGTAAAGTTTTTCAATATTTTAAAGTATGAATATCAAATGAACTAAATTTTTTTTAAAAAAAACTTCTTTATAAAATATATATTTGGTACAATTCGTGAAAGCATCCTCTACACTGTATATCAGAATATCCAATTCATTACGATTTGTTACTCTTAAAATTGCAACATATAGTTGACTATGGCTAAATACCGATTTTTGTATCAATTGTATATACTATATTTAAAAAGAGGGGAATTCCCCATTGCATTTTCTCGTCTAAACATTAGTCACAAGAACTAAGTGTTCAAGTTTGGTAAGTGCAAAATGTAAGTGTCGTATATAAGGTAATTAATAATTATTAATTATTATGGTACCGTGTAATAATAAAATAATAAACGTAATAATAATAGAAAAGGTAACATGTGAAACTTTAATAATAATATGGTAATAATATAGTATCGTGTAATAATAATAATAATAATAATAGTAATAATAATAAACGTAATAATTATTATTGGTGCCGTGTGTAATAAAAAGGTAACATGTGAAACTTTAATTACTCCCTCCGTCCCTTTTTCCTTTTCCTGTTTTGACTTTCAACCAATTTAAGGGACTAAATTTTTGTCATTGACTTGACAAATTTACCCCCCAACCCTAATCTAATAAAGAGAAGAAAATAGTGTAAAGTAAATTGCATTTAATGTAGAATGTACTTGCCCATCAAAAGTACAAAAGCAAATAGTGTAAACAACCCATTCCCTCCCAACACACACGAGGGTAATGATGGGGGTTAGGCAAAAGTACAACACAGCCACACAATACCAGCCACAAAATCCATTCAAATACACACCAAAACATGTTTTTAAAATATCTGGCTATTTTTGGAGAATTTTAAAATTCCCTCAAGGGACATCCCTCCAAAAATAGCACACTTTCTCTACTTAAATGAATGCAGTGACTGCATTCAATGCATTCCTCCTCTGTTCTTTTTCCTTCATTCTCCAATGAATTCTCCATTCGAGTCCCCGTTGTACTCTCCGTCTCCTTCGTTGACTTGTTCCGAAGATGATTCTTCTTCCTTTGACCATCTTCCCCAAGTTATTGAAGTTCCTTTACCCAATCTTTTCACCCCTGAAACAGACACAGAAACACAATCTGAAAGTAAAGGTGCTTTATTAAATCAAAGAAGGAAAAGAATTGCGGATCAGTTGCTACAACATTATCGGAATGGAAAACTTCAGCATGGTACCATAAAAAAATTGGCTGAAGAATTCAGCATTACAAGTAGAACTGTAAGCAGCATTTGGCAGGCAGTTCAAGCTCAAATCCAAGAAGGTCAACCCATTGTTGTAGAGTGTAAGTGGAAAGGAAACTGTGACAGAAAAAAGATGGCAGTGGACTTTGAAAAAATGGCAGCTCTACCTTTCAACAGGCGCAAAAACATGCGTGCATTAGGCTATGGAATGGGGGTATCAAAATCTACAGTCCATAGATGGCTTAAGTTAAAGCAGATTAGGAGGCATTCAAATGCCATAAAGCCATTACTGTGTGAACCAGGTAAGTTGAAAAGGCTTAAATTCTGTCTAGAGCATATTTCTCCCCTATCAATCCCCACGAACCCAACATTTCATGATTTTTATGACCATATCCATATTGATGAAAAATGGTTTGAAATCACAAAAAGAACCACAACTTTCTATGCTCTCCCTGATGAGATAGACCCATACATAACCATTCAAAGCAAAAGTCATATACCCAAAATAATGTTCCTAGCTGCTGTTGGTAGGCCAAGGTATGGGGAGCATGGGGAAGTTTTGTGGGATGGGAAAATAGGCATATTCCCATTCATTTATGAAGCTGCAGCTCAAAGGTCAAGTAAAAATAGGCCAGCAGGGACAATGGAGGTCAAGGCAATCCCAATAATAAATAGGGATGTTATGAAAGAGATGTTACTCAGTAAGTTACTACCAGCAATTAAGCAAAAGTGGCCAGGTTCTTCAAGGAATGTTATTATTTAGCAAGATAATGCAAAACCTCATGTTGATGGTAATGACTCTGATATTTTAGCAGCAGGACATGAAGGACACTGGAATATTGAATTGAAATTCCAGCCTCCAAACAGCCCAGACCTAAATGTACTTGACCTTGGATTTTTTAGATCTATTGACACATTGCAAGACCAAGCTGCTCCTAGGTCTTTGGCAGACTTAGTTCTTGCTGTTACTACAGCTTTTGAAGAGCTCTCACATGACACACTTAATAGAGTATTCTTAACCCTTCAAGGTGTGATGGGTGAGGTTCTTCAAAACAAAGGGGGGAACCAGTTCAAAATCCCTCACATGAACAAAACAAAGATGGCCAGAGAAGGAACACTTCCACAGAATTTAGGGGTCAGCCCAGAAGTGTATCACACTGCACGAGTGTACTTACAGGGGCATATGTGAGTACCTTTTGATATGGTACTTTTTTTTGTTAGTGCAACATGGGAAGGGAAGAGTACAATGCCTCTATGTACTTCCTATTGACTCCTATTGCACAAGTTTTTTGGCAGGCTATTGACAAGTGGTGTATCTGACTCAGTTGGAGTTCTACTTGCTTTTTTTGGGTTTTTGGATTTTTGTAATGCAAGTGTAGCCTGTATAATTATCAGTAATGTAGCATCTGTATTTATCACTTGGGTGTAATGTAGCATCTGTATTTATCAGTTGGATGTAATGTAGCAGCTGTTTTTATCAGAATAAATTTGATAATCATTTTCAGTTCTTATCAGAACAAATCAATAAGAAATTAAAAAGAAATTTCCAGTGCAGATTTGAATCACTGGCACAGAAGAATGAATAAAGCACACAATCAGACTCTCACCACAACACTTTTGGCACAAAACAGACAGAGGGTTGACCAAATGGATAAAAGTATTCAGTAATGTAAGTCTCCAACCTATACGGGGTGACATTACAACTTTGCCAAATCAGTAAGAAGTTTGCATCATAAGTTTGCCACTTCAGAAAAAAATTAGGGCATGCAGAAAACAGAGAGTAAAATTAAAGAAAATAGCGAAATTACTCTTCCTGTAGCGAAGTGCCTTTGCCTCATCTCCATATGGCTCTTCGAAAACAATTTCTGTATCAGACATCGCCAGGATCTGTTCTGAGGTAACAGATCCATCATCTTCATCCTCTTCCCCATTTTTGACACAACCTTCTTCTTCTTCTGAAGGAAAAAAGTCACCCCCTAGATATTTTTTCCGGTACCACCATGTTGGATCTGTATCATCGGTTCCAGATGCAGTGTCCTCAGAGTCATAATCAGGGATTAAAGGCTTCGAAGTAGTTGGGATAGGTGTAAGAGCCAATCTCTCCTCATCACTATCAGATAATAGCTTGAAGCTTGGCATCGTAGGATCAGGAATCCCCATAACAAATTTTAGATCTATCAAAGAAAAAGATAAGGGAAATCTGAAGAGAGAAGGGTGCCAGCAATGGAGAAGTGGAATAGGTAGAGAGAAAGGAGACGGAGATGAGAAAATGAGTGGGTGAGGTGGAGTGAATTGATGGATAAGGTAGGTGGAGGGGTTTGGGTGGGTTGGGTAGCTTTAATTAGGGTAAAGGGTATTAGGGTCCAAAAATGTGAAAAGTGAAACACTTTTTGGGACAAAAAAAACTAAAGGAGAAAGACTTTTCGGGACGGAGGGAGTATTAATTACTAATAAGGTAATTTCATTCCTTTAAATTTTTGGTGCGGTGTAATAAAAAAGGTAACATGTAAAACTTTAATTATTAATTATTATTTTTGAGTTCTAAAACTTGAAACGGTAAGCGCAAAATGTAGGTGCCGTGTATAAGGTAATCTCATAATGTATTCTCGTGTGGAATAATAATTATAATAATAATATGGTAATAATATGGTACTGCTCATTGACTTTGCATGTGAAAGAATAAAAAAGGTAACATGTAAAAGAATAATAATATGGTAATACTATGGTATCGTATAATAATAATAATAATTACAATAATAAATGTAATAATAATAAAGGTAAGTTCGTTTTGTGCTATTACCGTGTATAAAATAAATGAAAGTATTGTCTTGGTTTTAAAAAAAATGTATTCTCATATTTTATATTTTTTGGTCCAAAATTATATATTTAAAAAAAATCGACGGTCAAAAATGCAATGAAATTTTAAAGTATGGAAATTATAATTATAATGTGAAAAAAAGATTTTAATATCAAGTATGTAAATTATAATCACAGTATGTACGGGACCTACAGACCAAAGTAGAAGATAACTCGTCTGGGAATATCACCCACCCGATAGTGAGTAGTCCGTTGTTTGGTTATTTGAGCATGACCTATAAAGACTTGTAAAATAGGTCATGAAGATGAATTCATCCATGAAAGTTATTGGTTTTAATTTTGGGTTTACCAGAAAGATGAACAATTGAGAGATGAGTGATCATTTTGATTTTGGATTTAGAGCTTCAAACTCAGCGACATGTTTGTAAATGAGTACGAGAGGAGTAATGAAGCTTAATTGAAGAGTGTAAATAAACAATTTTATCCATATCTTTAACAGAAATGTTAAAAAAGGAGTTGAATGGCGGCATAAGAAAATTGATATGATTAAACCGGGAAAGTGAAAAGGAATGAGAAAAATTTTGAGCATAAAAAATTGATAAAAAATTAAGTCTTTGATTAGATATTATATGAAAAATACAGTACTAATCTCAGTCTTAAGTTACAAAATCTAATTAAAACATTCTTATTTTGAAGAAAAAACTCCCTCCATCTTAGAAAGAATGCTACATAACGCAAAACAAAGCAAAATTTTTAAGTTTTTAAAATTTATTGTATTTAAAGATTGGTATAGAAATAAAAACATATTCAAAATATGTCAAAACTTTTATAAAATAAGATGTTACAATAATAATAGTTTATTTTATCAAATAATAAATGATAACGCACAAACAAATAAGATTTCTGTAATTTTTAAATAGTGAAGTGTGATAATTTTTTGGGACGAAAAGATTATATGATGAATTGTATAGAATAACTAGATTTTATACTAACTTCATCCAGTTACAATAAATTTTTATTGGTATGGGAGTTCATTTGATTAGTTTCAAACCAATTCACTCAATATTAGTCAATAACATTAGATGTTAATGTTAGCATTTTGAAAAGACTTTCTAACGGCAGCATTTAGTGTAATCATTTTCAAATTTGATCTGCACCATTATATTTATGTGTAAAATTGAATATATTTGACTCTATTAAATTTAATTTTATCTAATTTCAACCAAATACCCTCAAACAATTTATAAATTTTGCACTCAATTGAATAAAATTCACTTAATTTTACCCAATTTCACTTAATTTTTATCAAATTGTATTCAGTTGGAACATAACACTCTTTGAATTTATCTTTCATCTTTTCATTTATAAAGATAAATATATTAGTAGATGTGAGAAAAATTTGATATATAAAAACTAAATTTTAAAATTAATTTAATTATACTAAATTTGTATCATAATTAAATATATATTTTTTCATAATTTTTAGTCCAAATTTGTAAAATACGACTAAAAAGTCAAAAAGGGAAGATTATTTAGGGTAGAGATAATATAATTAGAAAAAAATATAGAATAATATGAAGTATTGAATTGATGATAGATTGATAAATGTGATAAAACAAAAAAAGAAACATGGATGATTAAATTTTAATTAGAAAATAATATATATCCAAAATATATTTGATCCGAAACCGAAATATATCCGAACCGAACTAAATCCAAAACCAAAATATATCCGATTCAAATTATATCCGAACCAAAATCTATCCGAACTGATCTATAACAGAACCGTATCTAAATCAACTTGAAACCGAACCGAACCGAAAATGTATAGAACCGAATCAAATTCAAACCAAAATTAAACCGATCCAAACCGAACCGAACCAATCATAACGTACATCCAAACCAAAAAAAATCAATCCAAAACCAATCAGGTTGACCTGATTGCCACCTCTACCTCCCATAACTTCCAGGTTTCATCACATTATTTAGACTTTTGTGTTGTAAATATCAATTTCCCACCTTTTTGGACTTTAAACGTCTGCACATTTCCTCTATCATGCATTTTGGGGTCACAGTATTTGCAACGATTCAATTCCTTACAAAACAGTATGTAGCTACAAAGAATAAATATACATACGTTCTTATTACATAAATACCATAAAAGAGTTGAGCTTTTTGCACCCAAAAAAAATTATTTGTAAGCCCATAAAAATGTGAGAAACTTCACATTACGTATGTGAACCTTAAGAGCATAGAAGCACAAATCTTAAATGTGTCCTTGAACATTGTTCTGATTTTCAAGAATCAGAAAATGATATTACACATGAACTTTTAACGACAATAGCTTTTTTTTAAAGCACAAATCTTAAATGTATACTTTTGTCATGACGAATGGAATCGACAAAAGCTTTTTTTTTCTTTCCCCAGTTCGTCAAACTAATAATAAAACAATGTTCTTCATGGTAACAACAGCAAAAAAGAACTTTAAATACAAAAGAGTTAATCCAGTGAAATTCAAGTCAAGTACCAAGATTAGGTGTTGGCTTCGGCAGAGGGCCATGAGAGTATCTCCATTCGCCGCATGCTTCACAGTTTTCTAACTCTACGGCATTATCTAGGGTACAAAATTTGCATGACCACATAATATACTTGTCATTAAGATCTATACGCCTTCGAGTTTGACAGATCTCACAGATAGGAGCATAATGCTGCAATGAGAGATTTAATTAATGCTCTGAAAATGCTCCATTGCATCAGATTAACAACTAATTTACAAATAAAATTGTGTATAAGGCTATAAGCAAAACAGCTATTTCATTGCTGGAGGGGACTTCAGATGTTTTCAAGACAAAAACAATAAACAGTGTAGTGATACGGTTATTATAGGTGTTGTGTTCGTCATCATTTAGTAGCATAAGTTTTAGTTTCCTATTATTACTAAATAGTCACAGTTTCCTACTAGTAGAGTAGAAGTTTTATTCTATTTTAGTTAATATTCTTAAGAGATTCTTTGGTTGAATGAGATGATGGAAGAAGGCACGCGGGCTGAGAAATTCTTTATAGAATTTCGCATTGATCATTTTGGGCTGCCACTGGACAAGACTCGGTAGGAAAGTAACACTTCCGATACCAAAATGTTAGTGGTCCAAAGAGATTCCTAAGATAGATGAACCCCTCTCTTGCTCGTGGCTATTAGAGGAAGAACTTTGGATTAGTCAGTGACTAATTGGGAAGAATTATTTAATTGTTTCAATGATGATTTTATTAATGAATATAGCCCCCCCCCCCTATTTATACTATCCCCAAGAATCTTGGCGAGAAAGTTAATAGAGATCTAGGGCCTGTTTGGGAATAGCGTTAGAGATTAGCGTTAGCGTTTTGGATAAAATTTTAACGGTGCAGATTAATTTGAAAACGCTAACGCTAAACGCTGCCCGTAGATAGCCTTTTGAAAACGCTAACGCTAATCTCTAACGCTATTCCCAAACAGGCCCCTAACATTATAAAATAATGATATCAAGAATATTAGCTAAAATAGAAAAGGAGCAACTTAGTAAGTACTGTAAAAGCTAAAAAATAAATAGACTATAAATGCTTAATGACCTAATCATCAATGTTAAGACATACCCGGTTCAACAAGGTGCACATTGAGCATTCCCAAGCATCTGAATTCTCTAAACTGCGCACCACATCATAGCCAGAGCCTAATCTTGCATTTGAGTGATCATCAGTTAAGTCCACAAACTCTGACCCTTTACGATCATATGGTCGCTGAGGAAGTGGTGGAATTCCCCCTGCATGGTCTTTCTTAAGAGATTTGTCCCTGACAGCACGCCCTGATCCTGATATAGAACTAGACACGTTATGACTATCTGCAGAGATTGAAAACGAAGCATTTTCTCGCTCTCTATTTCTTTTTCGAGTTATTGCATCAGTAACCTGTGGACCAGCACTGCTTGAAGGTTTTTGTTTCACTGAAGTGGGATCCACATCCGAAGGTTTAAATGACATATAGGACTCATCATCATCATCATCTCCTTGCATATTACAAGACTCCGAAGCACACCAAATATTATCATGTGATCTCCTCTCAGCAGCCATGGCAGCTGCTTGGATGGGAGTAAGTGCACCCATGATCGATCTATCGCCCCCAATGCGTTTAGGACCAGGTGGCAACAGGGTAGTAAGTTGTGCCCTCTTTTCTGCTGCAGCAGCAATAGTGGTACGTAGAGAAGACAAAGAAGGCTGAGGAAAGAATCCCCCCAACCGTCTTCCAGGAAGATCGAACCCTTCCCCTGTCCCACTTATCCCCTTACTCAAAAGATCTTCACATTCCTATGCACATGCATTACATATCAGGACGAGAAGAAAAAAAATTTTAAACTGAAACAATTGAAGCACTAAGTTATCATAAACTCAAAGAGAATATAGCAAATTTAAAACTCTTCCACTTCGGTGATGCTATAATACCATGTCCAAGTCCTTAATTTGGAGACCAAAATGGTAGTTTTATGCATGTGTAAGACAAAAATGAAGCATTCAAGAATGTCCTTTGAACATTATAATCAAGAGGCAGGACCATGTCAGCAAACAAGGCACACCTCACAGTCCACTAGTAATAAATTGAATGACCAATTTAACACAAAATTTTGAGTACATTGCATTTTACAAACAGTGTGATTACAACATCATGCAACATATCATATTTTTTTCTTCATTATGTCATGGAAAAATCATTATTTCAGTCTCTCAGTTGTTCTTCCGTCTGCAATGTAATTCATTTTTGAAAATCTTGTGAACCTCATGTGGCCATGTGTTCAGTAACAAGCCTAATTCACCCACTGATAGAGAAGCATGGACTGTTTCTTTAGAATTAAAAGAAAAAGGATTAACACTATGTTTGGTTCAAGGAATTGAGGAAGAAAGGAAAATGATAAGGAAAAGAAAAGAAAAGGCAAGAAACTCAAAATTCTACTTATGTTTGGTTAAGATGGAAATTCATGAAGAAAATGTATTCTCAAGCTCTTTTTGTTTGGTTAGAAAGAAATTTCGTGAGAAAACAATGTAAATCCAAATTTGAACCCAAAAGATTTTATTGACTAATATGTTTATGACTCCAGCGCCACTTCAATTGCTCCAATACACATCTTGTGTTTCTTCATCATCATGCAATTTAATTAATTAACATAAACAAAAATATATAACCAAACAAAAAGAACTTGCAATTTAATTAATATGAGGCCTCACCCATCCATTTAAACTGGAATTGAAACAATTTTAATTTCAGATTAATTTTAATAATGATTTCAGAAAAAACATGTCAGCATCCAATACCATAAGCAACTTCATACATCCAGAAAAAAACATGTCAGCAACTTCATATTCTACTCCAGAGCAGCAAAAATCAGTTCAAAGCAACCCAGCAATTCATATTAACCTAAAAAATATATCAAACTTTTCACTACAAAAGCTATTTTAAACAACAGCAAAGTTCTTAATGGGAGGAAGTTGACCAATCTTTTTCAGATCCACAAAAAGCTGTTTTTTGTGGAATGTTGTTGTTCTTGTTGCTGTTAAAGGACTTCACATTCTGTCCAATTCGAAGAGAAAAGAAGAAGAGGAAAACACTCCTCTTTATTGTTGTGTTCTCTTGTTTCCAAACAAGGGACAGAAGAAGCATTTATTCATTTATTTTCATTGACAATTGGGATGATGATCACCCATGGTTATTCATCTCTTCTTGAGCACTACTGTAAAAGCTAACAGCTGTATTCATGAGAAAAGAAGGATAGGGACATAAAGTTCTTACTGGGAGGAAGTTGTGAAATACAGAGCAGTATTTTATGTTGTTTACATCCAGAGCAGTAATTCTTATCCTATTTTAATGCAGCAAAGTTCAGCTCATATAAAGCCAACCATTCTTAATCTTATACTACAAAAGCTAATCCATTCAAAGATTTGTTAATAAAGAAGGAATCCAGAACACAAACAGGCATACATACTAAGCAATGGTCATCATGCTGTTATGCTGTAGTGTACAGTGTACATTTGATGGCACATCCTAAAGTCTAGAAACATTGACTGGGGTTAACATAGAACCCAAAAAAACATTCAAGTATATGAAAAAATGGCACAAATATAATGCCTGAACACTAGGACTAAGCTGGGATGTTAATCGACATATACATACACAAAAGAAGAAGAAGAAAATGAGGCAGACAGTAACTCAGGATGATAGAATACCAGTGTTGGCAGCAGTAACTCAAGATGATAGAATAGCAGTATTGGCAGCAGTAACTCAAGCCACCTAGCCATAGCAAGTTTAATAGTCCTAACCACTTAAAATTGATTCACAAATCCCATTTAGTTTATAAGTTATTCTCAGAACTCCTTTGGGCCAGTTGGTTTCAGAGACTCCTTTAGTCCTAACCCAGTATTGGTTTTAGAGACTACTCACACCTATTGTTCATAAAACAAAACTTACTTGCTGTTTTAACATGATTCATCATAAAAAATATTCAGAAATCTCATAAAACAATACTACGTTGAAGAAGACGGAGGAGCTGTGGGCACTTATGTACAGTGGGGGCATTAGGAGCTGTTTGGCTGGCTGGTTTTACAGTGGTTGGGTTTTTTTTTTGACACTATGGTTGTGCAATATGTACTTGTATTAATTTAATTTAATAACAGTAGATGATTGCTGTAGAGGAATTGTGATTTGTACTAGGGCAAGAAACCAGCAAAATATGTCCACTGGGAAAAAGGTTTTTCAAATAATCTACTCATTGGTATATGGCAGCAAATGAACTTTACATCTCCATAATTTTTTACATCATATTATCATATTTTTTTTCCAGAATGCTTCCAAAAATTATGTGAAAATTCACTGCTACCCATAGACTTCCAAAATTACACCGGAATCACATATGATATGACTCCAAAGTTCTCAAACCGATGGTCAGCTTTATAGATTCACACACAGATTGCAAATTATACAAATAAGGCAGAAATCGAACACACAATCAGTACTAAGAAAAGCTACGAACCAAAACTCAATGGACCAAACTGAGTGTCTGAAAAAGCTTACATGTTCAATATCATGCACAAATTGAGTGTCTGAAAAAGCTTCGAATTCATGATCGCTAACCCCAGATGAATGAAGAACATAGGGTCTTCTTATCGTGCTTTTTGCGGGTCTTTGATTTTGATGAAAAATTGGGTCAGATCTTGTTTCCACAGGAAATTGATGGTTTACATTTGGTGCCACAAACTTACGCCTAGGCATCAATGTGTTTTGGCGAGAAGACATGGCAGCAAAAATGAAGAAATTCAGTGACAATTGAATAGAGAGAGGCGTTCGTTTATCGCAATTAGGGTTGCGATTGTTTATAGCGATTAGGGATATGATCGGTTGAGACTTGAGAGCTGAGAGGCACGATCAGGTTCAGAGATGGCTGAGGTAGAAAAAGACATGTCAGTGTTTAGGATGAGAAGGTTTCAGAAGGGTTCCGAGACGGGAGCGATGGATTCTCTCGTTTTCCGTCCAAAATCGGGAGGAAAATGATTTTTCCCTTTTTAATTCATTTTCTCCCCACTTTTCTTTTCCTCTCACTTTTCCTTTCTTTTTCTCACTAACCAAACATAAAATAACATTTCCCTCCTATTTTCTTTTCTTTTCCCATCCAAAATCCTTGAACCAAACATAGTGTAAAGGAAATTAAAAAATACCATCACAAAAAACAACTAACCCGGTAGATTCCCAACGCTGTGGTTTGGGGGTCAAGATGTACACAACCTTAGCCCGTGTAAAATATAGAGAGGTTGTTTAGTTAGACTCTTGAAGCATTGTTGCATTTACTGCCAGTACTTCATATAAAGTGGAGTGAGAAACTAAGGAAGTATAATACTCCTTATGTCATTTTTATTTACCTCATTATTACCTGAAGCTAAACCATTTTCAAAAAAGGACTTCTTTTAGCTCCATTGGCAATGGACCCAATTACAAAAGAACCCCAATAACAATAAATCGTCAAAGAAAATAGTGTCACACTTTTCCACCACTACGGAATTTGAATTAACACGCATTCAGGGACATATGTCACCAAAATGACAGCAACAAAAACATAACACAATATAATCCCAACTTTGTTGGGTCATGGGGGTCAAGATGTATGCAAGCTTATTAAGGTACAGAAACAGAGAGGCAGTTTCAGATAGAAACGTGTTGCATTGTTGCACAATTGTATTTACTGCCCATAACTTCATAGAAAGGATGAAGCACAGGAATTTTAATGTGCCATTTTGGTTTTGTCCATTATTTACACGAAGCTAAAACATTGTCAATAATGATTCTTTTAGATCAATTGGCAATGGATACATTTACGTTTCTCAGCAAAACAAAGAAATGTTATGTGCCCTTTCTAAGTTCATGTGTATCATACTTAACCTTCCGAAGTTCGTCCCAGAGCTTGTAGAAACTGGTATTATGAGGACTGTGAACATTGTGGCAAAGCTCATGGAGCATGGTGTCCAATACATCATCATATGGTAGAAAGTCTTCGTCGCGGTAGGGACGCCTAAGCCTAAGCTTTACATTGACACCGGCTCCTACGTTCAATCCAAGAAGATTTGCGTTCTTCGGACTGCAGCATCACATTAGCGCAACTTCATTGAAAGAGTTAAAAAACATGGATAATCCAAAAGCAATTACCATAAACACCATTCATTTGAAAGCTAATTAATTGCAGAAAATCATGAATTGGCAAGGCCACCAAAATTGGGGGACAATTTGATACCAGAATTCGGAAAGGAGTTTGACCCTCCAACCGTGCTTTCGCATAATAGGTTGAACTTGTTTGGCTATCCGCTCCAGGAACTTCTGAGCCTCTTCTTGTTTAGGCTTCCGCTTCAGGGATTTGATCTCCCATACCTTGTTCGTGTCGCGGAAACTCATTGTTTCTAAACAACTCCTAAAATCCTAATTCTTCCGTAATGTACGATCGTTCAAAAGGAACAAGAACACCGTGGTGTGCTGTGACTTGTGAGAAATTTGGCGAGAGGTTTGATCTGTTCCACAAATATGGCGGGATTTCGACATTTGTTCAAATAGGGCAAATGACCTCCCATGAGATATGTACTTTCATAGCTATGCACCTGGCTCGATTTTTTTGGATGGAATGAACTATGAAGTGACCAGCATTAGCTTTTTGGATAACTTTAACGCTAATCTTTAACGCTATTCCCAAACATGCCCGAATTCCATAGAGAGATTTTTTGTATATTTAATAATTAGTCTTTTATTATTAAATATTATGTTTCATGTTCTTCTTTTATGGATATTTTTCCACGTACTATGCTACACTTACACCAAAAATTGTATAACATTTGTACACCGCAGTTATACGCAAACATTTTGATGCTTTACACCGACACAAGTGTTGGTGCGTTAATAAAAATTTACATGGATACAAAGTGTTGGTGAATTAACAAAAATTAGTTTTACACCAACACAAAATGTTGGTGCAAACATGCGGTGTATAAATGAGGTACAAATAGCTTTATCTTTTTCCGCAAGTAGTCTTCTTTTACCTTCTATCATGTTTGTGTTAAATTAAAAACTAAAAATATAATTTTACATCGACCTTATATTCGGTGACATATTTTGATGTTTGCTTGACAAATAATACAATAATAGTGACTATGACAAAATTAGATATGGAAAATCTCATCTTATAAAAGATCAATTATAGATTTTTTGTGTGTGAATCACGGGGTTCTGAGTATTTTTCTATCTAGCTTCGAGTCTAGGTCCACCCAATTTGCTCCAAGAGGCAAGGGAACTGGCTCAAGGGAAATTGTAGTCGATGAGATTCGAACCTTGGTTCTACTATCCACAAAGAAACTCATTTTGCCACTTGAACTACCCCTTTGGGTTTAATAAATAGATTTAGAAAAAGATAGAAAGAATTGAAAGTGTTTGAATAAATTAAAGAACTAAAATCAAAATATATGAGCATTCGTCGTAGTTTTGAAAATCAAACCGGATTGGCCAGTTTGGACCGGGAATCAGCAATCAAACTGATCCAATCTAATAGACCGCTACTTGATTTGAACCAGTTCAAACCGGTCTAAACCGGTAAGAACTGGCGATTAAATCGGTAGAACCAATTTTTTATTTTTTAAAAAAAACGGCCAAAAATCTCGTGTAATAGCATTTTGTTGGACAATTATAAGCTAGTTGGGTAATATAATAGTATTAGTTATGGTAACATTTGTATTTTAGTAAGCTTTTATTATTGATTCTTGTTTCTAAGCTAGTTGGGGTTATAATTCCTTTTATATATACTCTGCCATGTATTTCGTTATTCTTTGAACAATACAATTGTTCTATTAGTTAATATGATATCGGAGTTACCGCTCTTTATGACCTAAAATTCTTCTCTTTTAACAGTGTGTGTGCTTAACAGTTGCGACCGACCCTGACGAGCGTGTCTAACTGCCGTCGTCCCTTATCTTTCTTTTTCTCTCCAAAAAAGAATTATCTCTCTCTATCAAAAAAATTGTGTGCACAATCAAAGAAATGAAAAACTGCATGCATTTGTCTGTGTTTCTTCTAGAGTTCGAGAGTATGAAAAGCAATATAGAATATCCCAAAAGGAGAAAAAAACTTTGCGCTCTCTCTCCAATCTCCAACACTCTCTGCTAGAAAAAAACTCAGCGCATGCACTCTCAAGCTTATTCGTCACACAACGAATATCTATCTCTGTACTTTTTGCAGACGTACTCACGAAGACATTATCTTCTCCGCACTCCGAGACTCTTGTTTCCAAGCTTCCACTAGTGACACTAGTTCAGCTTGAGGGGATGTTAGATAGTTATAATAATATTAATTATGGTAGTATTTGAATTTTAGTCGGCTTTTATTTTTTTATTTCTATTCCTAATTGGGGTTATAATCTTTGATCCTCTATATAAACTCTGTCATGCATTTCATTATTCTTTTGGTAATAACTTTATTGCATTAGCCAATACATTTGAAATTAAAATTTTAAGAAATCAAATTAAAATATAAAAGTACACTCTTGTCAAAGATTGTATCACAAATTTTCAATTACAGTGTCGTTTAAAAAAAGTTGGAGTGAATTATCAATAAACAATTTATAGTGGACTATGAGAATATCATGTTGGCAGCGGCAAATATTTCTCTTGACACGCCCTGGCTTCCGTGGAGATCGAAGAGACACAGCGGGAGTGGTGAAAATTGGATCGCGTGGAATGCAGCGATCCACTTCGATTTGCGAGGCAAATAGAAGCATCGATCAAGGCATCTAGGAAATAATCGGTCCCTTCTACTCTCCGTCCTTTGCGTAAATCACTCGCTGCAACCTCCGTGAAAATCACTGTTCTCTTTCGCCACCAACGCCGGCCACCCTCTTCGCAGGCTCATCAGGTACCCCTGGTACTCATCTCTTGTTTGATTGCTATGAAATTTACCACCTCTCTCTTTCCCCCAATCTCATCTGCAAGTCCTCTCTTTTTTGGTTTTATTGTGTATTGTGAGTTCATTGTGATTCTTCTATTACATTGTGATGATGAAATTTTATTATAGTACACACAAGATGTTTGATAAAATGATAAAACGAAGATCTAGTGTGGGATTTGTCATGAAAAGGAATCTTTCATTTTGCAATTTATAAAAGGATGATCTAGTGTGGATTTGTCAAAAAAATCTTTTAAACAAATAGATAACACACACGCACAACACAGAGGCAGTAAGCTCTTAACCATGTAGGAAGAGATTTCAACAAACAATGAAAAAAGAAAGTCTAAGCAGCCAAGCAGGAGAAAAAAGGAATGAGTATTGTGAAAGAATAGGATTGTGGTGAAAATCTGGTACAGTGGTATGTGCTCACACCTTTTCTATAATGAGTAAATCAGGTCAGCTCACAATTTAGTTTAACTCCTATCCCCCATTAAAAAAGTGATATTTATTTGGTTAATGTTCACAATATGCACTCATAACACAATGTGCCTGTAAATGCATTAGATATTTGTATGCAGCATTGGCCTCAAAGTCTAATGAAAACAACCTTTGTTTTTACATATGTAATCTGCTTGTAAATAGAGATACTCCTTATAAAATTATAATATATAATGCATAAATCTAAATATAGATCCGTCAATCAGCTCGTGTGAGGGATCTCGGTGGACATGCACGTCTCAAGGCGGACTTGATAGAAGAAGTGTGGAACAGAAACATCAGTAAAAGTCCACAATAGTTGTCCTAAACAAATTTTTTTGTTCTCAAAATGTTATTGCGGTGTGCTTCCTGGATATTTTAATGGTTGTAATATACTTTTAAAATTTTCTATCATTTTATGATTATGTTCTTTGCATTTTCTATAACAACTTCTATATGACCTCATATTCAATTTTTAGAATTTACTGATATAATTTGTACTCTATTTTAAATTTTCCATATTTAAATAAATAACTAAAACTAGAATTTTTATTATACTCCCTCCGTAGGACAAAGTAGGACGACCCGAATCCGTCCCGTTTTATTCCGATTCCGAATTTTATGGGACAAACCAGGATAAGATTGTAATCCAAACCGTTCCGGACCGTTTATATCTAACGGAACAAGACGTGAGACAACCTAAAATCCGGACCGTCCTGATCTGTGCCCACCCCTAATTTCAAATAAATTTTTGTTGTGTCCTTTTCATAATTTTTGTAATACGTACTGAACAACAAATTGTAGTGGATTATGAGAAAAATATATTTTGATGTTATTATGGAAATTTGTTTTTTTGGGTAGTACTCCCTCCGTCCTAAAATTAACTTTCCAGTTTAATTTTTGTAGTCAAACTTTTTAAACTTTGACCGTATATTACGGAAAATATACATTGAATTTTCATATAAATTTATTAGCAATAGATTCATTTTGAAACATAGTTTTGAAATATATAATTTTTATAAAATATATTTATATAAAATATTGAGATATTGAGAAGTTAATTTTTGGACGGAGGGAGTAATATTTTTCCTACAAAAGTTAATTTGTGAGATCGTGGTGTACAAACCCTTTGGAGTTGCCCTTTTTTGTCAAGAAGAATACCCTTTAAAGAAATCACCCTATCTAGCACTAAAAGTCATTCAATATTACGTACTACCTCTGTCCCACTCTTTTTGTCCAGTTTTGACTTTTGGAACTGTTTATCTAAACACTTTGACTCATCAAATTCTCTCAATGTGTAAGTCTAAAAATAATCATGTGTGATCTTGTTTGATTTGTCTTAACATGTAGATTATTAATATATAATTTTTATAATTTTTTAATACACAAATTACAAGATAAAATGGATTAAAGAAGTGCATTGGATGGTGTGCAAAAATGAAAGTGGACAAAAAGAGTGGGACGGAGGGAGTATATAACACTCCTTAATCTTTTATACGAATTTAACTATTTATAGTGTCCATATCTTTCATGCATACTCTCTACCTTTTATTATATTCTCCTATTTTTAATTACTTTTAATTATTTGATTAAACTTATGTTATTCGATCACGTAGCAACTCCTCCTCATACGTGCGGCTCCTCCTCATTTGTCCATCTCATACATGTGAGAACATCATCCTACATCGTTTACCATAGCTCTGCGAGATCCTCCTCCTACCCAGTTTACCAATGTATAATGTCTAAACGAGTTTGTACGTATTAAATTAAGTTCCATATTTAACGCTCATGTTTGGCTAGTGTGTTTTGGTGTAATAAAATATTCATGAAATCCGTCATAAATTTTTGGGCAGTGTGGAATTCATACATGAAAATAGTCATACATATTTTTGGCAGTGTGAAATTCATACATGAAAACAGAGTTAAAGTCATACATAAAAAGAGCTATACATTTTTTGGACAATGTGGAATTCATACATAAAAACAGTCATTCACTTTTTGAAAGTGTAGAATTTATACATGAAAACACTGGCACATAAATCAATAGACATTAAACTCTAACATGAAATTAAGGAACACATTAACACACTTACACACTCTCGTAAGATATAACAACATATATTCATTCTACACTGATACATTAAATACTCAAAATAAGAGTTTCATGTTTTTATTTCCGAAATAGGAGTTAAAATGCATTTACATTACCAAGCATGACTATGTACTTAACTAAAAATGCATATATACAGTGCCACATTACTACAATGCGAACTCTTATTTCGGGTATAAAAAGATGGAATTCTTATTTTGGTATTTTCTTTATGTTTTCCTCCTATTTAGGGTGATTTTTTAAAAGATAGGGCATTTTGGAAAATTTATCATTTGTGAGCTATTAAATGATTGAGAAGATCCAAATTTTACATGTGAACCTTAGAACAACGGAAGAACTACTCTTCTAGGCAAATTCTCTCATGGTCCTAAGGTCCATGCTCATGTTATGGACATTGGTGCATTAATATCGTAAAAGCATTGGACCTTTGACAAAAAAAGATCTACTTGTCAATCCATGAAATTTGTGAGAAGGTCCACGTACTTTTACATGTGGATCTTAAGACTCCGGAAGAACAACTATTACTTCTGTTAGTCGCTTACAAACGACTTTTGTTGATACTACCCCAAGAGTTCCCATTGTTGTTTTAATTGTGAATTCTCCCAACTTAAAGAGTGTATATTATACAACTGGTTGCACACGAACTATGTTACAACCAGGTTGCAATCATTTTGGAAATAGTGCCATTTTCGCACAGAGTATTAATATTTATTTTGGAGTAAAAAAGTATTCATGTTGAAATAACGTAGTGTTCATTTTGAATCAACGTAATGCTCATTCTAAAACAACGTAGTGTTCATTTTAACAAATTTTTTTGATCATTCTAAAACAACATAGTGTTTATTTTAACATATTTGCTCATTACAATTATAATATTCATTTATGAATACGTAATATTTATTCTGAAACAACGTAGTGCTCATTCTCAAATAATGTAGTGTTCATTCTGAAGCAACGTATCATTCATACCATCTAGTAAGTCGCTAAAAATGAATATAATATTACACAGAATACAAATTAGTACCAATACATAACAGAATGTGTACTAGCACAATTCAATTCATTGTAAACCCACAAGGTCATTGTCCTCGATCACCTCGTTCCATTTGTTGGGAAACGAGGCTTGGATAACGCAGCGGAAAACAAAAATTTATAGTCCAAAACTCGATTCCACCCAAGAACAACTTACGTAAATTACTAGCTATAGTAAGAAATTTACCTTAACGGTGAAAACGAAGAACGGAGGAACGGTCGGGGATGGTTTTGAGGAGATGAACGTAGCGCCAAACGTATGAAGCCTCCAACGTATCCACACGAACTAGCTCCGGAGTCCAAGATTAAACTTGTGCTAGCAAGTTTAATATAGGATAGTAAAAACTATAATAATACTACTTTGGTAGTAATAAATATATAGTAAAATATTTATCTTATAAATATTTGTTTATAATATTTTGTGTATATATCTAACACTTTAGAAAAATAACTTTGAACACAAAATAAAATTTTCTTCTCTCCAAAATTGGGATGGCCGAAAGTTGTGTGTGTATATTAAAAATCAAGACTTCATTTTATAATAAAGTATATTTAGGAAATTAATGTTAAGCATAAGTACATGCATATGTCTTAACACCATGTGTAAATGTTTAATATCTTAGCTACCAAACAAAATAGAATCCCTACATCAAATAATAATCAAATATATCAATTTGACATTAAAAATACTTTATGTATAAAATCAAAATGGTCTTGGATTTTTCCTCTTGAAATTTCGGTCATCCCATATTTGAAATATATCATATTTTATTTTTGACATCAATAATTATCATATAATTAAAATGATGAAAAATAAAATAATATATATATACACACATTCGGCGCTACATATATATATATATATATAATAAAATTTGTTTTGTCAAAATATAATTATCATATAATTAAAATGACACAAACAAAATATAATATTAAAATACTTATGTATTTTCAAAATACATCTATATGTATAAAATTATCACAACTATATATTTAATATTACTCCCACTAGTGTAGTATACTACTCCCTTACAAGTCCTAAGTGTGTGACCCTTTAGGTATCCATAACACTGGCAATGATATTAATAAAATTAATACCATAGATAATAAGTGGTATCTAGCAACACATTATTATCCCTAGATTATGAAAAAGACGTTCATCTCATCAATACCTTCTACGACACAAGACATTCTATAACTATTATCCTTCTGTCCTAAATGTCATGATTTAACACAAGGCATGGGATGTGTATTCTTGTATAGTTAAATCAGCTGTTACTGAATCTCAAGTAGACTGGCAGGGATCAGATATTTATCAGTCTCTAGATAGCGACATATCTGGGCATGGTCATGCACTTTCCCAAGTCCTACTATTCAGTGGGCTCATTGACATTATACTTCTATACAGTAAAAGGGACAGATCCTGTATCTGTTATTCACATCTCTAAATATGCTTAGCGGCATACCCAACGCATAACTATACGTCTACCAGTATTTCAGATAGCATTAGTTATGAATCAAAGCATACGGCCCCACATATCAGAGAATATAATAACTTCAAGTCTGAGAATAGTTATAGCAAGGTCGATTTGAGAATACTGATAAACACATTACTGTAGATCCATGCAGTATTCTCAAGATGGGTCAATCCAGTCACATATTATCGATATAATATGCACCTACGTACAGATTAAGATATCACAATACCTATAGTCTATGAGACGCAACTATCTCATCTCGTATGTACTAGTCTTGATACGTTATGACGTCCGTATTATCATAAAGTGCGACTAGGGATATTCTAGACAAAGCCTTCGTCAAGAAGTAACAGTCTCATAATCAGAACATCGTAGTCCTCATCTATGTTACTGAAGAGCTATCGTCTATGGACTGAAGCTAAAGGGAAAATGTGACTCCAAAGTATTATTGTCTAACATTTCCCTTTAGACAATATTATTATTATTGTCTAACATTTCTATTCGTAATTTTCTTTTCTGAACTTTCCAATAAACAATTTTCTTTTTCCTCTTGAAAATCAAAAAATAATGATAATGTTTAATTTGTGATAGATGGAGTATAAGTTATTTTTTACATTTTTTATTTCAAAAAATAACAATTTTGAATTTTTAAAATGTTATGTAAAAATATAAAAGAAATTTAAAAAATAAAAGAGATAAATCAACTTGGGGGTGCAATTGAAGGGGGTGGGGGGCCGCGTTCGGGTCGGGGCGTGGTGGGGGGTTTGCCGGGGGGGTTAGGGGGGGTAGGAATCGTCAATTTTACGAACGGGGCACCGAAGCACTCCCGGGTCATCCCATAACATTGGTTCTCAATGTCATTTGAACCAAGGTGTTTCAAGTAATGAATGCATAAACATCTTGTTAGCCTCTTTTTCAAAATAATAAATAATTCTCCTGTCCCAAACTAATCCTCCTTATTTTTCTTTTTTGAGCTGTCCCAAATTAATCTTTTATTTTCCTTTTTTGGAAAACTTTTCGTGGCTCAATTTCTCTCTCTTCTACATTACAAAAGTTTTTTGCTTAAAAATTTCGAAAGACTTGTTTATAAACTACATTATTTGTACAATTTTGGGAACATTGTCTTCGTTGTATATCAGAATTTTCAAGACACTATAATTTGTTACTCTTGAAACTGCAACATACAATTCTTTATAACTTACCTTTATTATTATTATTATGTTTATTATTATGATTATGATTATGATTATTATTATACAGTACCATATTATTACTATATTATTTTTATTCTTTAACATGCTACTTTTCTTATTATCACGGTACCAAAATTTATAAGATATGAAATTACCTTAATAATTAATAATTAATAATTAAGGTTTCACATGTTACCTTTTTTATACACGGTACCCAAAATGGTAAAGTATGAAATTACCTTATTAATAATTAAAGTTTCACATGTTATCTTTTTTATTACACTGTATCAAAAGGTATGAGGTATGAAATTACCTTATTAATAATTAATAATTAAAAATTATGTTTCACATGTTACCTTTTTTATTATACACGTTACCAATAATAATTATTACGTTTATTATTATTATTATTACACACGGTACCAATAATAGTTAAAGTTTCACATGTTACCTTTTCTATTATTATTATTATTACACGATACCATAATAATTAATAATTAATAATAACTATGAAAGAAAAGTGAGAGAGTAAATAATTATGAAATTACCTTATACTACCTCCGTCCCGCTATATTCGTCCAGTTTTGACTTTTGTAACTGTTCATTTAAGCACTTTGACTCATCAAATTCTCTCAATGTGTAAGCCTAAATATAGTCATGTGTGATCTTGTTTGATTTGTCTTAACATATAGATTATTAATATATAATTTCTATAATTTTTTAATGGAAAAAATATCTCAAATAATCCCACCTTTTCGCGCTCTTTCAAAAATAATTCCACTTTTCACTGTCAACGGAAGTTTTTGAAAATGCCTGTTTTTTGCAAATAAATGAAAGGTGAGATTATTTTAGAAAAATTTGCTTTTAACTTTTTCAGTTTTGAATTTAAAATTAATATTTTTTAAAAATATAACAATACACTCTTGTTAGAGATTTGTCTAACGATTAACAAATTTTGTAGTGATTTATAAAATTTATGGGTTCCGTTTCGGAGAAAAAAATATTGTGTCATTTTCACAACTTTTGAATTACTATTTTGGGGAAAAATTTGTATTGAATTATTAAAAAAAATCACAAATTGGGTAGTTCCATTTTAGAAAGAAAATTTTATTGCAATATAAGATTATCAATAAAAATTTTAGAGTGTTCATGGAAAAATTGCAATACATCAGAAAATGTTGTGAGTTATAAAAATAAAAGTTCTATTTTAGAGAAAAAAATTGTTGTGTTATTTTCACAACTATTGTAATGTTGTTTCACAAAAAATATTTATATAGAACTATCGAAAAATATTCATAAGTTTTGTAGTGCCATTTTTTNCATCACATCTTACTTTTACCTATCACATCAAGGGCAAAATTGGAAGTCAACTACAATTTAATACTTCCTTATTTTTACACAAAGTCAAAAGAGGAACACTTTTTCCAAACGGAGGGAGTAGTTAGTTATGAAGTTAATAAATTAGCTCTATTGTGTAGAATAATTTATTTTCTAATTATTACCATATTATTGGTTATTGAAAAAAACAATTAGTTTCACTCTAAAAACACTTAAATTTGGTATTATTTCCAAAAAAATAAAATAAAAATACATTTAAAGAAATTAAAAAACGAAAAAGGGAGAATTTACCTAAAATAATCCCACCTTTCATTTATTTGCGAAAAACGGGCATTTTTCAAAATTTCCGTTAAGTGACCGTTAGTTTTTTAACGGTGACCCAAAACTCGCACACATGCGAAAAGTTGGGATTATTTTCGGTGACAGTGAAAAGTGGGATTATTTTTGAAAGAGCGCGAAAAGGTGGGATTATTTGAGATAATTTTTCCTTTTTTAATATACAAATTACAAGATAAAATGGATTAAAGAAGTGCATTGGATGGTGTGCAAAAATGAAAGTGGACAAATATAGTGGGACGGAGGGAGTACACGACATTTACCATTTCAAGTTTTAGCACTTACCTTTTGTGACTGAAACATTTAGGTGGGAAAATGAAATGGAGAATTCCAATCTTTTTAAATATAGTATAGATAAAAGTAAGATTGTCTTGTCAAAAGAAGGTAAGATTGAAAAAAAAGAGTAAATTCCATAAAAAGTCTCCAGTTATAGGCCGTTTTACATATTTAGTCCATACATATCAAATATTACTAAATTAGTCCCAAATTATTATATCATTTTTCACGAATGGTCTTTTGTTAACGTTTTTGTTAAGAACATGGATAAAATTATATATTCATACTTCTCTCTCTCCTAAATTAAGCTTCCTCACTTCTCTCTCAATTAGTAGTCTCCCAGGTGGAACCTAAAATCAAAACCAATAAGTTTTATGGATGAGTTTTATCGGTTAGTCTTAAGAAATTGCAAAGAAAATAAACATTAAAACTCATCCATGAAGGTTATTGGTTTCGAATTTGGGTTCTACCAGTTCAATAAACAATTGAGAGAAGAGTGATGATTTTGGTTTTGGGTTCAAAACTTCAAACTCAGCAATGGGTTTGGGAAAGGAGTGCGATGGGAGGGATGCAGCTTAATTGAGGAGAGAAAAGAGTGAGAATTTACAATTTTATCCATGTTCTTAATGAAAATGTTAACAAAGGACCATTCTTGGAAATGAATCTTAGGCACTAAATTAGTAATATTTGATATATAGAGACTAAATATATAAAACTACCAGTACCGAATTTACTCTAAATAAGCCTAAATTCTTGTAGCCGGAGGGAGTATGTGACCAGGGTTCACTTCAGTACTTCACCACAATAAACCCTTCTCTGAAATCTCGACTTCCGCTGTCTTTATCGTCCGAGCAGCACCTCCACGCTTAGGCTCTCGCAAATGTCCGCAATACTTAGGCGTCGGCGTATCTTGTCCTTTTTTACGGGGAACAATCGCTACCTCTCCTCCAACGCCGCCGCGGATCCTCCCACGGGGACAATTGTTCCTTCTTCAGCAGTACTCGGCAACCAGCCTCCGCCGCCTCATACTTCAGCTCCGCCACCTCATTCCGCCGGTTCTGGAAAGAAACCGTGGGGATTCCTGAAGTATTCTCTCATTGCCGCCCTCACAGGCGGTGTTGCCGCTACTAGTTATGCTACCTACGGTTCGTGCTATGCTTTGAATTTCACTCATATTGTAGCTTCACTCTATGTTCCGTAAACAGACAAACAGACACACATAATGGTTATTGGCCAACAAGGCCTTCAATTGTTCATATCAATTGGGTGAGAGATTTAGTGGGTGATGAGAAAAGCCATCTACAAAATGATTTGATTTTTTCTTGGTGTTTATAACTCCGTACAAGGTTCTCAAGACGTTGATTTAGTTTCTTACATTGATAGCTTTATTGAATTTGAGTTTTGATGCTTCTTTTAATCTGCAAATACAATTTAAAGCCAGATATTTATCTTAATTGATACATCCTTTTTCATGGGTTACCAATTAGATACATTTTAGAGTGTTTGCTTAATTCGAGGCTTAGTACCACACCACTACATATAAGCAATTTTCTAGCAATCTTGCACAATTAACCTTCATCATAACTGAGCTGTATTAGTCTGCAGCATTCTCTCTGGATGAAGTTGATCAGAAGGCCCGGCAATTTCGGGCTGCTTCAAATTTTACTGCCAGTGATGATGCACCTGGTGTTGACGTGAGTGTTGTATTATAGTGCATTGTCTTATGAACATTTTGTTTCCAATGGATCTAGTGAAACTTGTGATAATGTATTAGATGTTTCTTGAACACTGGCACATAAAAAACTTACCTTATTATTTGGCAATGCCATACCCATTTATAATCCTTCTCATTTTGAAAAGGTGGGTAGAGGTATTAGTTCTATAAAATAGCAGATGACTTCGCACCATAAGCATTTTACATAAAAAGTTCTAAATGGATTGAAAATTTCACTATTCTAAGTTTTGCAAATATACATTGCTCTAAAAATGCCTGTATTGTACAAAATGTTGACAACTAGTGTGCAAATTAACATGCCGAGTATAATGCAGGGAGTTTTTGCACATGACCATAATTTTGAAAGGCATTCACCTCCCTTGCATAAGGTGTCTTAGGCGTCCGGGTGACCCTACACCGCCTTAAGAGAATCAGGCAAGGAGAGGTCCCTAAGGCGCACCTCAAGCGGTTGCTGTATATTACTCCCTCCGTCCTAAAATTAACTTCCCATTTGATTTTTCACGGTCTCCAATGCGACACTTTGACCATCAATATCTCAATTTTTATATAAATATATTTTATAAAAATTATATATTTCAAAACTATGTTTCAAAATAAATCTATTGCTAACAAATTTATATGAAAATTCAATGTATTTTTTTCGTAATATGTGGTCAAAGTTTAAAAAGTTTGACTACAAAAGTCAAAATGAGAGGTTAATTTTAGGACGGAGGGAGTAATTATTTTAAAAGTGTTCGATAGAATGATTTTAAACAACTTATTGCATTTAGGTGTATATATTGGAATGCATACATATATATTATAGGAGTATATAGTACTCTGTATGTGCTATATGTGTTTGTGTATATATTACACACACAGATATATATATATATGTGTGTGTGTGTGTGTGTATCCCGTGTTTGCCTTTTGACCTTTTGCATCGCCTCTCGCCTTTCAAAACTATGGTCTTGACACCATTCTTATTATATCACGATAAGGTTCTGTTCCGGTAAAGTTATTAAATAGATGTTGGGTATTTAATGTTTCTTTGCCCATTGCAGAAAATTAAAGCTCAAATGTATTCTTCTGCAATGACAGGTAATGCCATCAATCTATTAATTTTCTCACATAACTATATATATAGTTTAGGAAGAGCTCCCTAGAGTTTGGATCGTTGAGAATATAATGGGCTGAAGTTAAAATCAATCAAATCATTGTTCTTCCCGTATACCTACATTTAACTTTGGTGTCGTATCAGAGGCATTCACTTTTATGCTTCTTTGGATCACTTGTATATTTTAGTTTACTAACTGGTCCATATCCTCAATAACTTCAGTTTTTTTAATATACTTTTCAATGCCTACTTTTTCAGTACCTGCCAAGATAGTTGAACTTTACCTAGATTTGAGACGATTGGCAGAAGAGCAAATTCAAGTTGAGTTGCTGAACATCATTTATGCTGTGTAGTATCTGGATATATTTCAGTTATGATTTTTTTGTTCTTCTAACTACATTTCACTTCTTTTTTTTCTATTGTAGGGTTTTACGGAACCATTATCAGATAACCTGCTCCCGGATTTGCATCCCATGGAGCAGCATGTGTTTACTATTGTACTTGATCTAAATGAGACACTGATATACTCTGATTGGAAGGTAAATCAAATGCCTAAAACTGGCTTTGATCCTGCCTAGAATTGGGTTTTTTTTTTGTAAATGTAGACTATGTAGTGTCAGTTACAGTTGTGTTTCTGGTGTGTGTGTTTGTCTCTTTAAGAATATATTATTCTTTGCTTCTTTCATTTGATGATATTGTTCTGTACGCCCCCCTCTATTTTTTTCTTTCTTAAGCAAATACTATGTAATTATGCTCTCTGAATGGATTTTTGTGCCTTGTGTGATTTTTCAATCCTTTTAAAAGCGTGACAGAGGATGGAGAACTTTCAAGAGGCCTGGTGTTGATGCTTTTCTGGAACATTTAGCCCAATTTTATGAGATCGTAGTGTACACTGATCAGCAGGGAATGGTACTTGCTAATCTTGGAGTTTTTGCAATATTTTCCAATTGTATTTGTCAACACTATCTTGGCATTTGCAGTATGTTGACCCTGTTGTTGAAAGGTTGGATCCAAAACATTGTATACGGTTTAGGCTATCAAGAAGTGCAACCAAATATCTCAATGGCAAGCATTATAGAGTAAGTTAATGTTCTCTCTAAACTAGTGACACTTTTATGAGGGATGTTTAGGTAACATGATGATTGCACCTTTTGTTCTCACATTAATGCAAATGCCTGGATAGGCACATTTGCGGAGCAACATTTTGTTGCTAAGTACAGACTAGTTTAGTTCAAACTCTATAACCACCATGCATTGACATCCATTTCAAGCGTGAGAAACCTTAAGTTTGACATGACCTATCTTGTTATAATTGAACTTCTATTTTCTTGTACTAATTTACTAACATTTATTTTTCAAAGTTATTTTAAAAAAATTGGTTTAGTATACAGCCAAGAATTGATGAATTAAACATTGAAACTGTTGTTTATCTGATATCTTCTTTACTTTTGTAGAGTTCAAAGTTCTAACATATTTTATGTTTTCTTGTGTGGATGGTCTTTTGAAAACAACCTCAATAATTTTATGATTGGGGCTAAGTTTGTACTTACAACCAGTCTACCACTTTTTCAAAACCCTACCAGTGGGACCCAAGGTTTTGAAAGGAAAAAAGCTAGCCTAAGCGTTGGAGCAAGATGCCTTGTGGCGTAAGCCTCGAGGTGTACCGGATAATGCTAAAATACACATTCCAAGGCAAAACAAAATGCATAATCCATAATTATGTCAAATAAGTCGTAAATTCATACGACAATTTTTACGAGTTCCTGCAAGATGGTCTTTTAACTTACTCATGCTGCCCGTGATAGTTTTATTACAATGGTGGCATATCACGTGCACATAATGACTTACGTTTTAAATATGGATAAAGTTTCACATAAAAATAAAGGGGAGCGTCTAAAATGACACCAGTTACTTATACACCAGTTGCTTACACCAGTTCGTTTGGGGTACCTACGGTGCTCCGTTTGTAGGAACCGTTGTTTTTATAAATGGAGCACCGTAGGTACCCCAAACGAACTGGTGTAAGCAAATGACACCAGTAGCACTGGTGTCATTTTAGACTTACCGAAAATAAAGTTATGTCATTCTTTGAATTGAATTTAAGAACATGAGAATTTTCAGCTAATCTTTGGAGTAGTATTTAAAAACTCAAGAAATTTCAGCAAGTCTAGGATGTAAAAATCCAGATAATAGGAGAATCTGGATTCAAAGTTATTTCATAACCAAAATTAGACTAGTACATTTAAATTTCAACTATAAATATAGATAAATTTTAAGTTAAGAAAACTACATAGAAATTAAATAAAATTCAAAGATGAGGAGGGAGAGTGATGCAAGGAAAATGTATGACTAATTCACTACTAGGGCTTAAAGAGACCGTCTCAAACGCCTTTTAAAATCATGCTACGACCTCACATGTTTGTTTAACAGTTTTTGGTGTGGTCAAGGGTGATAAGATTGTCTGATGTTATGTGTCAGGAGGCCTTGAACTCTCTGAATTGCTGCTTCAATAAAAAATCGCGAGGCACGTTAGAGACAGACAGAGTGCTAGATCACAGCTGTATCTGATTTTCCGAAATATCTAGTCGGGTCGGGTTGGGGATCATGCCGTTGGCCATTAGAGACGAAAGGAAAATAAATTGAATTCTGTTGGGCGCAGAAAAGAAACGCCATAAGGCGTACCACAACTTCAGATGTGTTGTTCATCCTCTTCTTACACATATAAGAAGTCTTCCAAACCAAGAACTCTTACGCCTACTTCCTCATTAATTTTGACAAAGTAATGGTGTCTATTTCTATGTTGTTCTATAGTTCTCCGTCTTTCTCCTCTACATCTAGTGTTCAGTCTTCAATCAAACAAATCTGGCTTTCAAATCTTGAATTAGTCTTGCATACTCTGCTATCAATTTTTCCTACTCTTCAGCACTGTATCCTTCTTCAGTCCGGCATTTTATTATTTACTTTGTAAAACTTAGCTTTCTTCCGCCTTGCACCTTACTTAATTACTCTTCAATACTTTTGCAATTTTATGTTGAAGTTATGTTTATTTGGATGTTTTCAAATTTGGAAGTTATGAACTACTCCCACCATTGCAAAAACACATTTTCTGTTACTATTCCAGGATCATGATAATTTTGGTTCACATGTGCTTTTTCATTGATCATTTGATAAAATAGCAGTCATGCCACCTCTTGGTTTGTAGAATTTTTTATATAGATTTTAAATATTAAATATGCAAGTTTTATTTTTTGTTTCTATACCAACTTTCCAATTAAATAAATTTAAAAATACTTTATTATACCTCGTATACCGCAAAGGGTATTTCTTTTAGGGATAGAGGGAGTATTACTTTTGTTGTGATGAGAAGGACTATTCGTTTCATAATCAAGATGTTTTCGAGATGTACATTTTATAAATTTCTACCCGCTATTAGGATCTACGATCCGATTTAAGATCCCCGATTTGCGGTCTTCCACCTGCTTTCCAATCCTACATAGGAGCTCAAGTTTACCAACCTTGGTGGTGGTTGTTTTTGAAGCTTCTAGGTTGAAGTGATGATGTTCAATACTATGACATGCTCTCCAAGTTCTTGGGTTTTTTTCATGCCTTCAGGATTACATCTCATTTTATTGCTGTAATTTTAAGCAGTTCAGTTGCCCTAGCTGAATTGTATGTATGAAAAATAATGCAATGCTGTCAATATCCCCATTGCGCATTACTTTCATGCAATGGTGTCAAACCACTTGATTAAATTCTACCATCATTATGTAACACTGCTAGTTTTTGTCTTTTGACTTGTAATTTACATTACTTAGGTTGAATTATTTCCTGTACTGGGAACTTGATTGCATTTCCTCTCTGTGTGTGTTCTTATTCGTCGTGGTCAGCATCCATTTGGGATTTGACCGATGATGATGTGTTTGTAACCAATGAATAATATCTGCTTCCAGGACCTCTCTATGCTGAACAGAGATCCCAAGAAGGTTATTTATATCAGTGGTCATGCACTTGAAAGTAGCCTTCAACCAGAGAACTGCATGGAAATCAAGCCATGGAAAGGAGAAGTTGAAGATACAACACTTGTGGATCTTATTCCATTTCTTGAATGTACGTAATTGCCCATCTTTTTTCCGTTTGAACGTTTTACTCAGCATGAAGTTTATTGTTGTTGATGTTGGTTCTGGTGTAAAAGATAAAAAATTATAATTTCTCCCTCAACAAGTAGGATTTATGGATCCATACTTTTGATGCAGATGTTGCCAAGCATAGACCAGCTGATATTCGAACTGTTCTAGCTTCATATCAAGGACGTGATGTTGCCAAGGAGTTCATTGAACGGTCCAAGGAACACCAGAGGTGAACAGCGAAGATTTGAAAATTCACTACACGATTATTTGCATAGACATAACACGGGATATGTTAAAACGATTTGATCCCTTCATTCCCTGTTATTTTTTCTCTTTCAAATCATTATATTTCTCAAGCTGTGTAACTAGACTTCTTAACCTGTGTATGGGTGCAGGCGAATGCAAGAGAAAAAAGGGCATGGTCGCATGTGGCGTCACTAGAGGCACTGCCAGCATCGGTTTACCATGGTGGGATTACTAGACTTTTGAGATAACCTATACTGCTATGTAGTGGTGCCCAATTTTTTTTGTTGCGTGCTTTATAATCCTCTTGTGCTCCTCGTTCTTCGTCTATCAACTCTCTACTGATGTTCCGCATTTGTCGCGACCTCCATTTCGACTCCCTTATTTTTAGCCGATTGTTTCTTTTATCAAACAATAACCCCTTACATGAAATGAGGACTTAACACCTTTTTATTTTTTCTATTTATAAAAGCACCATCATATTGTTGATTTTTTTTTGAAATTATGATTCTTTTCTAATGTACTATAGTCACATACTTACACGCGACAATGAATCCACCATATCTTCCTACCCGTTTCAAAGGCTGTAGTTTGGAAGTCATGTTGTTTACAATATTTTTCATTAATGTTAGTTGGAAGTAAAAAATTACATTTAATAATCCAATATTGTCCGATCAAGAAAATTTATCTTTGCACTTTGAAAAATTTAAGTAATTGTACCTCGGGTCGTGTCCCAAAAAATAGAGGTTGTAGATGCAATATGATATATTCCTTCCCTTTTTAAAAACTTTTCTTATTTTGATTTTTGTTGATCAAATAGTGTTACTATTTGACTACATATTGCGAAAGAAATATACTTATTTATAATATAAATTTAATATAATTGGACTCATCTTAAAATATTGCTTTGATATATCAAATTTCTATATCATTTATTTATTTAGAGTTTTAGACTATATTTAATTTATAGTTAAAGAATCTTATTGTTTGACAAAAAACTAAAAACAAGAAAGATTTTTAGGATTAGAATACTTTTTAACGGAGTTCGGAGTATTATGCAAAAAAATGGTTTAAATATGAAAAGAATAGTACTCCGTAATTAAACTACTACATATATTATTAAACAGAAAACACTCGTACAATTGAAGGTGTATGACCCGAAGTTCTTCAAACTTAAATCAATTATTCTTTTGAATTTATTTACTTGAATTACACGAATGTTTTTGTGATGTTATTTTTACATGCTTCTACAATATTTGATTTACTTACTCTGATTGATTTATAAATTATTTTTAAATTAATATAAATAAATGTTTTGTTTTAGATGTTTAAAAAATATTATGCAACTGAATATCAAATTAATAGCAACCCGACTCGCTTACTTGTTTGCTCAGATTACGTTGGTTTGGGTGTTACATTTTTCTACCGATCGAAGTTTGGCTAAGAAAAATATCAAATGGGAAGATTAAATCTGGATGAGGTAAATGTATATTTAAAAATTACATAAAAAAATCTACAAAATTAGATGAATGACTAAACTATTTTATGAAGCGAGAATTTTAAATAGCTCAACAAGGTGAATAGAGTTTGAATATGAGAATAATGAACGAGAAAAAATTTATGAAGAGAGGAAATATAAATTAAGTGAATAATGCATTATAAAAGAAAGCTTTTTTAGGGAATAGCTAATCTGTGTTCACTGAACGCAAGTTTATTTAGGATAGGTAAGAGTTAAGCATGTAGGATAGAGAAAAAGAAAAAGTAACTAATCTGTATTCGTTAAACATAGGTTTAATTAGAACTTTTTAGGATATAACTAAATTGTGTTTTTTAAATACATAATTCACTGAAAAGAATCTAACAGTAACTATGGTAGGATATGTGAGCAAATAAAATCTGGAATGCCTATGCCCGCATCAGCCACGGAGTACTCCTTCCGTCCCATATATTTCTCCGCGTTGCGCAAAACGAAGAAAAATTCCAAATTTTTCCGATCTATTTTATTGAAATATTGGTATAGAAATAAAAAATGAAACTTACATATTTTATTTTATCACATACGCCATATAAAAACGAAAATAAAAAAATTCATGTGAAGTAAGAATAGTGCTGTGCGAAGAAAGATGTGGGGAAGAGAGGGAATATATTATTAGGCGTGACATAAGGCATAACCTTTATCAATGCTTCCTCCCATAACTGGAAAAGTTCAAAACAAAACTTGATAGTAAAATTTTTAAACAGCAATAGCTTTCGAGTTGCTATCAGTTACTACCACACTTGTGAACTGTCGACTTCTGACTTTCCAAAATAACTTTAATACCCTTTGCCCAGGAATAAAACCAAAAAAGTACTTATAAGGGTAGCCGGTAGAGAAGAATGGTACGGTGGTAAATATGTCTCATATATACCCTCCTCCTTGAATCTTAGAAGGTATGTACTCCTCCGTCAAAAATGAAAGTGAGCAGGCAGATAACGCTTCAAGCTCATACTTGACTCCTTTCTCTAGCAGCACCTCTATTTCAATCCTAACATTTTTTAAATAAATAAATAAATAAATAAATAATAAAAATTCAAAAGAAATATCAACAAAAAGCCAAACCTCCATTTAGGCACTTCTCTTTGCATGTAACATCTTTGTAACATTGCCTGAGCTCTCCTCTTATCTGACATTATATTTTACGTGTTAGAATATTATTGAGGAACCACATAATGAAATCAATAATTCATCAGCTAGAAAAGATCCCCCCCCCCCCCAACCACCTTCTTCTGTCAAGGGCAAAAGGCATTGCTTTGGAACACAATAGGTATCACAATCAAGAGGAAAAGCTCCAAGCCACCTTATCCCAGGGACACGTAGAAATTTCGCATCATACGCCATTTGCTTCAAGAAACAAGTCGAACGGATTGTGTTGTTATCAGTGGCTGTCACTTTGTTTGACACACTTTGACAATTGTCAAACTAGGTGTCATCTGCGTGCCTATTTGGCTGGATCGAATGCTTTAAAAAACTGATTAAAAAAATCTCACCATGGAGCCAAATCGGTATGTTGCCAAGATGTCAACGCCATACGGATCACAATCTACTAGGCAATATGTAGGCAGGCACAGTTTCTCAGTGAGGAGCTGCAGGAATCTGTCAACAATACGATTAGAATGGTAAGAATTCAAATAATACTTGAGATACTAATTTGGCAATAATTTCTTACCTCCTTGTGGGAACATCAGGATAGCCTCTCCCCTGTAAGTGAATAATAAATAAATTAGATGATCCTAATATGATGAATTAGAGAGTGCTGACATGAGAAGCTCACGGAGATGACAATGCAATGATTTCTTTTACAGAATTGATCATTTGCTAGTCGCTGGAATACTGCATATGAATATATGAACATATAAATTCATGTCATGGTTAGATGGAGCCATGGAGGTAATAAAATATCATTACTCTGCAAAAGAAAAGTAATACCTGATTCTTTTTCCACAACTAAAATATACTGGGCAACACTGATAATATCTGTGCAAGTGATTAAGGGAATATTACCAGAAAGCTACTGAGGTTAACAATACTCAACATCATGCAAAGAGTTTAGTATCACTTATATCCAGACATCTGCTCTTCATTCCTTAGCATTACGTATATATTTTTTAAACCTCATAAAACAAGAAAAATCTTGCATCAACCATAATCCATTCGTCCTCCNATTCTTTAACAATGAATCTTCTTGAGAAGTATCACCTCTTCCTTGAGAATTTCATGCACAAATGATACTGAACATCAATGTTTTGTGCATGCATGAAAGACTTGATTCTTCACTAAATGAATATCACTGTGGCTGTCAAAAGATACCTCAAGTTGTTTCCTTCACAACCCATGTAATCCCATATAATCTGCCTCTATTGTAGACAAAGCCACCTTTGACTGCAGGGTTGACTTCTAGCTAACTAGCGCTTTTGCTAAAGTTTACAAATAGTCAGTTATAGACTGTAGCTTATCCAAACCACTTGGATATCATCAACAAGTTGAAGTGCATATGCTACCATGTCAATGAAACAAGCAGGTTTCTGTATTTTTTCTCTCTTTCTTCTAACGACAATGGACACCGATTGCTGTAGAGGTTATTGGGTTGGAACCTCTTCCTCAATCCTCATCAAACTCTTCTTATGTCGTAGGAGACTCACTAGTGGTGCTTCGCATTACGATCACCACTATCTACTCAAACTCAACCTGCTTCGAAGTACATTGCATCTACTGTAGAGTACTTTCAATACCTTCAAGATTTATCTTGTTGAATTTGGTAGATTCATCAAAGATAATTAACACCTGGGCCGATAATCATCTAATTCCACAAACCATATCCCTTCATTCTGGCATTAAAGCCCATGAATAAAGCTTTCTAGGCCATACCTTAAACAGAGTTTTCCCACCTATTATCAGATGATGGAAAAACGATTGATGAGATGTAGGCCTAACTTTTCTACTAAACCAACATTCAACAACATATAACAAAATTTCTCCATACGTGATTTGTTCATACGTTCTAAAACCCCATTTTATTGCGGTGCTTTTCTAATAGTGAAATGCCAAAGTGTAACATAATTTTGGGATACCTTCAGGAATGGATTGTTATTGTATTCCCCAACCATTAACTGTTTAGAGAATCTTAATCTTCCTCCCTGCCTAGTTTTTAGCTTGAGCTTTCCTCTTAAGAAAAATTTCAAGCATATCATATTTGTTCTTCATAGTAAACATTCAAATTCAACAACAAACCCAGTAAAATTCCACAAAAAGTAGGGTCTGAGGAGAGTGTGTGTATGTAGACCTTGGCCCTACCCAAAAATAGAGAGATTATATCCAGAAGACCCCAGCTCAAGCACAGACGAAGTAAACCAACAAACCACTCGCAAAAGTACAAAATAAGAGGAAAGTATGAGCAAAGAGCAAAGGGAAAAATAATTGCACAAAGACATAAAGTACACAAATTAAAATTAGCAACTAAACGCAAAGCACAAAAAGATAAGAGCAAACCACTAAGACCTAGAAGTCTGCCCAACCACTGTAATCCTAGATCTCCCGACGTTCCAATCTAAAGCCGTACCCTCAATAAGATCCTGAAATCTTAAGTCATGTCTAACCACAACTTTCCAACTCTTATTAGGTCTACCCCTAGTTCCCCTACATGGCTACCCCTTCTCGCGCCCACTACCACAAGCTTCTCGCATCTCTGGGCCCTCTCCACTTCTCCACTTCACGTTGCGAAAAAACCCCGGCCTAGCTTCTCGCAGATTATCCTCCATTGATTGTCACTCCCACCCATCCCCAAATAACCTTGTCCCAAATTCCATTAATACACACACATCTCGATGTGATAATTTTGAAGGAAAAAGCACTAAAAAAATTGATTCCACATTGTTTTTGCATTGTGCAACATTTGCATCTGGTGACCCATCTTTCATCTTCAATTTTGGACGACTTTTCTTCTGGTCCCCTTTCTGAAGAGGAAAGTACACTAATCTTTGACAACGACCCAACTTTTTTTATTTGGGCCTTTTCTCGTTTTTGACTGCCTTTGCTAATGACCTCTTTTCACCAATGTTTCTTCTGATATCGTTAACGTTCTTTTCATCTTATCTTCTTTTCTCAATTCATGACTACACAAAGAAGAACAAAAAGCATCTAACGACACTTCTCCTCCCTATGAAGCAACGCAATCTTCAAATGTCCAAATAATTATAAAGAGATTATAACAACAACAAATCTGGATCCTTATCCTCAAATTTCACATATAAATTCAACGGGCTGCTGCTAATTGATTTGACATAGTGATGTGTTCATTCATAATAATACCTAGTTGGTGATCAAATTGGAACCTTTTCTTCCTAAGAACATGTTCTAGCCACTCTTTTAAGAAACTTGTCCACGAATGCCTTCCAGAATTTATGTGCAAAAGTCTCATTTTTGAAAGCATACCTTTGCTCTGGAGGCACAATCAAATGGTTCCACACACCAACCAATTAATGATACTCCAAGTCCCTATATCCAAACTCTTCTGGTTTCTTTTACTCAATAACAATATCTCTACTCACGAAAAGAGTGTCCAAGACTTCACCTTACCACATGCCCAAATAGCTAGTATCAACAAATATTTTCACCACCAATTTCAAATTAGACAACAGGAACCTCGACCATGATGAGGAAGAGCATGATGTCTTTGTGCTTATATTTTAAAAATATCCTTTGTTTCTTGATCTTGAGTTTCTTTTACAATATAGTATTCAACTTTACAACAATTACAAATTAATCGAGGACGAACCTTCAACTTTGATACCACTTGTTTGGAAAATCGGGTAATTTTCACCCTAAGGCAAAATCACAAAATATTTATTGAAATGAACAGGTTGAAAACAAAAGAACTAGACAGAACCATAACTAATGTACCCGGCTAATAATATTGAATACTATACAACAACTAAAAAGAAAACATAATAACAACAATAAATAAATCAAAATAATAAAAGAGATAAAAACACATGAAACTTTGATGACATAGTTTAGCTAAATAAGATTAATCTCCAAACACTGCTCAAGCAGCTTGTTCTTATTCTTTTGAGTACTATTAACTCTACTATATTGTTGCATTTGTTCATACATACTTTTCAACCTATAGAGCACAAAGAGCCAATGCCCCCATTGGAGTTCGAACTTGTGATCCCCCATTTGAGAGAGTCATAGTTATGCTGCCTATTAATGGGAAGACAAATTTTTAAGATAACAGAATGGGAAGACAATTTGAAAATTAGCCAAAAGTAAACAATAATTGGAACTCAGATCTAAAAAGTGTTTTTTAGTATCAAATTCACTGTATACATATGTATTCTCTCAGTAAGTAGGGTTTCGTTACATTTATGGAGATAATTCAGGTTTTGTGTTAAATGTTAATATACCAGAAAAATCACATTGATGTACTAATATTATGGTCAATTGACTTATAACATGCCATGGCATTCTCAAAAGTATACTTTCAACCTCTTCTACATAAACGGGAATGGGATGTGCCTGCAAGAATGCCAATATCTGGAGATCACATGCAATGTAAGAAGTAACACATTAAATTGTAGCAATAGTATGCAGTTATGCTCACTGTGTTTGGACTGTTAATACAATCAAATTTTCTCCCGGCTTCTACGAATTGCAGCCAGCCCATCACCAATCTAGATCAAACACATAAAAACAGGAAAGATAAAAGGTTGAAACAAATGCTTTGGAACATAAATTCAATGATACATACAAAAGGAAACAAGAAAATTACCAATCAAGGATGGAGAGGCGAGATGACTGTTTAATTATTTATAGAATATTTCAATAGATAGTTGAATATATACAGAAAAGCCATGGTCGGCCAATAATGACACTGATTTAAGGGGTAAAAGGAGACATTACAGAATTGGAACTTAATGAGTGATGGTGGTAATTAACCGGGGTCTGGTGTCTACCAGTCGGATATGGCCAAGCCATGAGGTTGAATCAACCTGGAAGGGATCAGATTCAACACCAGATGATAGACAGTTATGTATACGAGGAAACCCGGAACATGAAAACCACATGCTTTTTTAGGCGGTAACCTTGCCAAAGGGGGAGGGAGATGGGTGCTTTAATTGATGCAGACTACGCAAGAGTCCGGCTGTGGGTATTGCAAGGGTGAAGGCCCTGACGCTGCTAGTACAAAGGTTTAAATTGGCAGGCTATCCACAAACCTGGAGCGGCTCTGACACTCTAGGAACCTTTTTCTAGAATGGTCAGAACGAGTCCCCCTTCTCCAAGGTAGCAGGAGAAGGGTCTAGTATCTATGTCGTTAAGATCCATGCCACGTCCTGGGGACACGTGTTCAAGCCTGGATGAATTGCAGCTAGCCTAGACCCACTCCTAGAGTCCTAGGCTTGTGGTTTGCCAGCTAGCCGCACTGTCACGTTGACCAGGTGTACCTGCGGAGCCACCAGGTTCATACCAATTGATGGAAGCAGAGTATGAAGCCCATCGCCCGATCATTTTGGTTGGACGACTTGGTCCATGTGGTATACTCCATCAATGAGCATATGAGAGTATGGTACATGACTGAAAAGAATGACAAATGAGAATCTTGGGTCCTCTAGTCTTCTCCAGTGATATGGGACTAAGGGTTAGCTGTTGCTACTATTGTTGTCCTTTCATGAGATTTTGATTCAACTTAATGCGACATTTGTATGGTAGCTAGCCTACCTTGGAATAATTTTGGGCTAATAGAAATGAATAAAAAACAGTGCTTGGATGTGATTATGCCTCAAGGAAGATCTGGAATTTTTTCCCCTAATTTATAAAAGGAAAAACAACATCATATATCCCCACCCAATTACACTATTAACTTATCATTGGACTCTGATAATGCTTTCAGACCAAATGCATTGTATACAAATATGATTCTTTTAAAAAGAGGGATTTCCATGCATCAAGCAGATAACTTCAGGTTTTATGTTAATATACTTGAATAATCAAACTGATGCTCTAATATTATGGTCAAAACAGCCTTAGAAAGTAGTAATGGTATCATTATAAATGAGAATTGTTCTCATTCTACATGAGTACTCACCCATTCCCAACTGAAACCTGCAAAAGACAAAAAAGAGGTATTACTAAGAGGGTTCGTACTAAGTTTCAAGGATTGCATTATAGTCATATGTACATATCTTTATTTAGATGTTAGGTTACGTCTAGTGTTTCTAGACATAGAAGGATATGAGAAGCAATACGAAGTCATACCACATTCAAGTTATGTCGACTGCATTGCAGAAGTATGCAAATATCATTAATTGCTCGGTCAACAGTTGCTTGTTCTGCCTCACGAAATGGGAAGGAACAATAGAAAGTTGTAAAAGGAAATGTAAAGGAGAAATTTAGGCTCTAGGACAACCACAGGAAGATTCAAATAATTGAAACAAAATGCATATCACTTTTTCCAAAAAATAAAAAATATTGACTCGATGGCATTTGAAACACAAGTCATGCATCCATTTGAAAAACAAAATGCTATCTGATTCTTGAACATATGTATGAGTTCATAGTTCAATAGTACAACTCATGTTTCCATTTAAATAAGAGAAAGACAGAAGTCTTTTTTATAAAAAGGAGAGGCAATTATTCTTGAGTCACCTTTAAAAACAGAAGGGTGCATGTAAAAAATGTCTCTTTTTGAACCATGACGATTTTCTTGTAGAAGTTGCTGAACAATTTGTAACACCCTTAACAGAACATCTGCAAACCACGACATATGCAACACTGAATCATCAGCAACACATAGGAATGAAGCATGAATTCACAAAAAATGAAAACACAATTCTGTAAGAACTCAAAGAATAGATGATTTTTCCACATAGACCATATTCTTCAATAAAACTTTCGCATTTTCAAATCCATGCCAGAATGGGAGGCCAGGATGGTAAAATGTCTATTTCTGAGAGTCACCTAGCCTGCAGGCATGGCATTCCCTCTTCAGTGTAACGAATTCCTTCCCATTTGACAAGCCAGAGCTGCAATAGCTAGAGAAGAGAAGGAAAAAAAGTCAAAACACAACTCACTGATATAAAAAAAAGTTCATTGTACTTAAATAACACATCAAAATTCAAAAATGGAAGGAAAAATTCACATCAATGAGATAAGACTGGCTGAACTGCAGAGAACAATTAACAATTAATCCTAATGACATTGTAGCCACTAGGCCCTAGCATGAAGGATTGTGGTTTGACTCACAATATAGTAGGGCTTAACACAATTCACTAGTCATAACTATGAACGGAGTACTTTGAAGAAGGGACATTTACAGTGAAAACCTAAACAATAAATAATCCGAAAACTAATCCCCCAAAACGCAAAACCATAAGATTTGAAATCTGAATCGATGGAACATAGACGTCATTCGATCCCTAACAGAAAATCAAAAGGCCATTAGGAAATCGATGGTGAAAATGAGTGTTCAATAATCTAACCAATTTCCAGAATCATCTGTGCAGTAATTTCTGAACCGATCAATGCGAATGATTGGCGAGCGGTTGTTCGCGAGATCTTCAACAATGGATCGAGTAAACTCTGCAAAAGTACGCTGAAGTCACATATAATGAACTTCTTCATTTTGAGTAAGAAAAAAAAAATGCAGGGAATAATGTCTAAAAGAGAAACGGAGTAGAATTCTTTCATCTCATTTAATTAGAGAGCTGATATTGCCTTTCATTCTTCTCAATACTTCAAAGTGCGGCGAACCAGGAAGCTTTCCCTCCATTTTCATTGAGGGAGCTAAGCAATGGAGAGGGGTTGTCTTATTTTAAAAAAGATGCCGAGTTTCGCATTTGGGCCGAGGGTAGTGTAGTAGGGACGGGCGCTCATTTGCATTTGTATATTTTTAGAATTTTTTTTGAAAAGAACATCAGAATACCATTAATTCAAATCAGAGTACAAAGTCTCATGAAGAAATGCTGGAAGGGCATGAATTCACTCCAAGCAATCAGACTCAGAATCAGACGCTCTAGCCAACATGTGAGCCACCTGATTCGCTGATCTTTTAACAACTGAAAGCGTGAGAGAAACAAAGTCTCGCACCACTATCTTACAATCAGAGATAATATCTAAGAAATAAGAATGTGAATGAGTTTCAATATCTTCTTGAATTGCTTTAAATACTACCTCGCTGTCGATCTCGACACTTAGATTCATTTGTCCAACCGGCATCTTAAGCCACCTCAATGCCACTCTTGTAGTCCTCGAACAGCTCTTTCCGCCACACAGGTCATGCTCAAGCTTCTGTTCTTCCAATCAAGTTGATTTCGTTGTTGCCACTCCTCCCATAAAACCATGCAATGTTGTTGAACCCTTTCCTTTGTGTGTGTTCGGCGAACCTCCTCAAACCACTCAACCATACTCCCATACTGTCGTGTGCATACATAGCCCACTATGCCCAGGCATGCTTGGCAAAAGTGCAGCCTACTAAACTGTGGATAGTGGTCTCCTCATCGGTGCAACATCTAGGACACACATCTGCCACCTCCACCTGACGCCTCCGAAGGTTGGCTCTTACACGTAGGACATCGCTGAGAGCTCGCCACATAAAGTTGCAAACTTTTGGGGGTACCTGCATTTTCCAAATAAACGCCCACATGTCGTTGTTAGTAGTTGTCCCTAACCACCGCCCTTTATACATCATTCGGTAGCCATGTTTCACTGAATACAATCCTTTGAGGTCGTCTCTCCAGATCCATGCATCTTCTCGACTGTACAGGCCCAATGGAATATGCGATATCTCTTGGACTTCCTCCACGCTAAACAGTGTCTGGAGTAAGTCCATATTTCATCTCCGAGTACAGGGATCAATAAAAGCCGACACCAAAACCTCATTCAACTCCTCTACAAGGCACGAACGAACATATAGGTCTTCCTTTCTCAAAAGCCAAGGTGTAGCCAGCAGCTTTGTTGTTTCCCCATTCCCAATCCGTCGTATACAGCCCTTCTCCAGGATGCGTCGCCCTTCCAAAATGGATCGCCAAACGAAGCTGGCATTATTTCCACACCCTGCATTAAAAAAATCACCGTTAGGGAAATAACGGGCCAGGTATATTTTTAGAATTGAACTCGAGGTACACCAACATTGATATCGCACATACATTTTGTCTCTGTGTGTATCTGTGTTGGATTGATGTACAAATGGGGTACCCCATATTGGTTTATCCCTAGCATTGCCCATATTTTTAATCTCTCACTCTCTAATATACTAGCATATGTTTTTATTTTTCAATGTAGTATCTGTTGGTCATTGTTCAAGTAAATATCCACCGCCACTGGACATTGTTCAAACTAAATATTCACCATCATTGGACATTGTTCCTGCCACTAGCATTATTCAAGTACTATTTAGAAAATAAAAAAGTTTAAGGACTACATTGGGAAGTAACATTTGTCTAAGTAGTATTTAATTTAAATTTCATATGAAGATATGTGGCAAGTGATGGGTGTATTTCACCCAAGACCGGTCAAAGGAGAAGGCCAAATCTTTGATCGGTCAATCTCGAAAGTTTTGAAAGGGAGACTTAAATCGTCAGCAAAACGATATGTCATCAGCCAAAATTTGACCGGTACACTTCACAAAAAAGTATACCGGTCAAATTACGTTATCATCCTGTTTATTCCAGACTTCGATGAATTCACCTCTCGGAGATTACCCGGTGTAGTTTCTGAGGTTGGAAAGTGTCGGCAGAAGAGGATCTGCGAGGGCTTGGCGTGTAGCGACCCGTGTCAGTAGAGGACAACTGGAGATGCTGAAGGATCCATCCAAGGCACTACTTGACAAAGGGAATGATCCCCTTCACAAGGCGACAAGGCAGCTTGAGGACGAAACCAGTCACCTCGCACCACATCAGCAGCATGCCCCCACGTGGGCGCACGTGGTCCTGTCCCCTTAGCCTAGTATAAATACTCATGTAAACCTCAGAAAGAGGGATCCGACTTCATTCTCTCTAAACTCCCTTGTAAAAGCACCCGTGCATTCTCCGTTATAATATAAATTGGGCTACAGGTGTTCCACCTAAAGTCCTACCGGTCAATCTGCGAGTTTTTAGCTTTCTTACTTTGACAAATCAAACAAACTATTCTAGACCCGGTCTAGTATAGTTTGACCGGTCAAGTAATTTACACCATCATTTTTGGCGCCACCCGTGGGACCGTTGAGGTTTCTTTTCCTAAACACAAAC